AACTATGCCACGGAACCTTCCAAGACCTGGGCGGTGCTGAGACAATCAGAAACAACTGGGGGAAAACACACTGCGGGTACAGAGTGGGGAGACTTCTGATCCAAACAATAGATAACAGTAGATAACAATAGTAGATGTGTGATGATCTGTGATGATCTGTGAGGAGAAAGCTTTCCATTTTTGGTGATGATTTGTGATGATCTGATCCAAACAACCGTCAATTTCCATCTTTTTCACGATCTCAAAACACAGCACTCTGCACCAAGCGGCGCGTGGTTGGAAGTCGTCCCCCAGCGGCGAGATCTGCGATCTCAAAACGTCCACCGTCGAATGAAAGGGACAGGCCATGCCTTCCTCACCTTAGAGCAACGGGGCAATCGGCTTTACCACATGGAGTGTGCAATCAATGATATCAATGGTGGGAAAGCATTGGGTGATATACATACACACACACACATACGCACGCACACACACACACACATACGCACGCACACACACACACATATATATATACATATGCGTATATATATATTTATATCATTTTATATTAAATATGAAACAAATAAAGAAAATCAGCTATGAATGGCAAAACCCGGAGAGACCTTGATATGAAAAAACGGTGAGAAACTGTTGTCCTTGCGAACAACTTCATGGTGAAAAAACTGGTCACAACGGAAAATCAGCTATAAATAGTTTATAAATTGGGGGGTTGAACAGGAATACCATACATGGGGATTTTCTGTTGCTTCCTCCATTTTTGTGAAGTGACCCTTTGGTGGCCACAGGATATTTGACCTTTGCCAGGTTGGATCGAAAGGGCTGGCTTCCCTGGCTAAAGTGGATGACGCTGGGAAGGTGACAAGAAAAATCATCCAACATTGGAAAAGCAAACGCTTCATGATACCCTCTGGTAATTTTACACAACTATGGAAAATCACCATAGAAACAGCGAATTTTCCCATGGAAAATGGTGATGTTCCATAGTTATGGGACAGTTTACCAAAGGGTATCTTCCGGTTGTTTCATGTCACCCTACCATGATATCATATGATATCCATGATGGAATACTTCATGATAGCATATATCCTGAGCGACTGTACCGCGCTAATTCCACTGCGGTTCTGGGATGGAACAGCTAGGATGACATCACTGGTCCCATGATGTCCCATGGGGCAATGGGAAAAACATACCCGACTGATGTAGTAAAAGAACATCCATGAAAATCAACCTGTACTTGGGGATATCTTATACCTGTCATTTCAAAAAGATTATACTTGGTGAAGCACTAGCTAAACTACCCCTTTTTTACCATAAATGGGTAGTATAAACCAAAATAGAGGTGGTTTATTGTTGCTCTACAAACCATAAACTGTTAAAATGCTTTCATACTGGGTTTCCCACACTACGACCCTTTCTTTGGGCCAGGACACTGCATTTGGTGCAGTTGTTGCTACCTGCCACCATCTTGATGCTGCCTGCATGGCAGCCGCAGTCTTCGATTTCCTCGTTTAGCTGGGCGTTGGGAACTTGCGCTTAGGGTGCTCTGAACATTTTGGGAAAACCGCCTCATTCAGCGGTTTATCATCATTTTCGTCATTCAAAATCGATATTGTGGGGGTATGCGCAATTTTCAGAAGTACGCCTTCAAACATTGGAAGTGGAGCACCTCTCTCACGACATTCTAAGGCGGGAGAATCTTGATGCAAAAGCTTTTGCAATATCTACAATCATTCCATCCATCTGTCTACCTGATTTTTGCTGGCTGTCCAGCTATCTAACCATTCCCCACTAACAAGCTACCGAACAACATCCGAGTTAACTCCAATAATGAACATATCTGGTGGTAACTTGAAAGAGCCCACCCGTCCAAATACCCATCCAAACATCTAAGCTCAAAGTATTTACTATGAACATTGCATGTTTTCCTTGTGTCGATATGTGAATCATTCCAACATCCAGCTAAGCGGATTGTCAGAGCTTGCCCTACAGTCCCATTGTTCAGAAAATTCTTGTCGGCCACAAATTGGGTATACACCATTTGGTTGGTTGATGAAATTAAAATTACCCCCTGGTAAACTAACATAGCTATTGAAAATCACGATTTTTAATGGGTAAATCAACTATAAATGGCAATTTTCAATAGCAAACTGTTAAATTACCAGAGGGTAGATCCTCATATATCCTCATATCCCTATCCTATTCTATACCCATTCTCTGTGACTACCCCATTTTCCAAATCAGCAAGGCATGACCCCAGCTAATCCCTTCCCCCTATTACTAAACCCCCCCAAGTAATAAAAACTAGCGTCCGTCTCCAATTTTGGAAAATTTGAGGTTGGCCAATTTGAATTTTAATTGATCCCCTTTAGAAAACAATTTAAAAATAAAGCTACTATTTGTGGGTTTCACGCCCTAATAATAAAAACTAGTTAGCCCCGGGGTGTTTTTTTATTAGGGTCCGTCCGAAAAAAAGTTTTTTATGTTAGGGTTTTAAATTTAGTATTAGGGGGAAGCTTCGGACCCTAATACTAAATACGGGACCCTAATAAAAAAAACTACCTGAGGTGTGTATTGTTTGGGGAGGACGTTTTGTATTAGGGGGACGGGATTACTCACCATTTATGGCCAGGTTCAGGAACGGTCGTCACACCCATCATACATCATACATCTAAGTCTTTACAAAGAATTTAGCCATGAACAAAACCATATCTGGTTGCTGGTATACCTACCCCTCTGAAAATATGAATAAAAAGTCAGTTGGGATTATGAAATTCCCAACTGAATTAAAAAAGAAAATTCATGTTCCAAACCACCAACCAGATAATAGTTGGACTATAGTTGGTTTGTTTTTCCCCAACAGCAGAAGCTTTGGGGTCTTCAGCCATAGTGAATGTTTCGGGGCAGACCGGAGCAGCTCCAAAACCCAATTTCCCCAAGGTTCCCAAGGTTCCGAAAGTTCCCATGGTTCGCAAGGTTCCCAAGGTTCCCAACATTCCCAAGGTTCCCAGGGCTCCCAGGGCTCCCAAGGTTCCCAAGGTTCCCAAGGTTCCCAAGGTTCCCAAGGTTCCCAAGGTTCCCAAGGTTCCCAAGGTTCCCAAGGTTCCCAAGGTTCCCAAGGTTCCCAAGGTTCCCAAGGTTCCCAAGGTTCCCAAGGTCCCCAAGGTTCCCAAGGTTCCCAAGGTTCCCAAGGTTCCCAAGGTTCCCAAGGTTCCCAAGGTTCCCAAGGTTCCCAAGGTTCCCAAGGTTCCCAAGGTTCCCAAGGTTCCCAAGGTTCCCAAGGTTCCCAAGGTTCCCAAGGTTCCCAAGGTTCCCAGGAAGAGGTTCCCAAGCAACGTCCCCAAGCAAGGTTCCCAAGAGGTTCCAAGCACGGTTTTCAGGAGGAGGTTCACAAGCAAGGTTCCCAAGAGGTTCCAAGAAAGGCTCAGAGGTTCCCAAGCAAGGGTTCCCAGCAAGAGCTTCCCAAGCAAGGGTTCCCAGGAAGAGGTTCCCAAGCAAGGTTCTCAGGAAGAGGTTCCCAAGCAAGGTTCCCAGGAAGAGGTTCCCAGGAACAAGTTCCCAAGCAAGGTTCCCAGGAACAAGTTCCCAAGCAAGGTTCCCAGGAACAGGTTTTGCAAGCACGGCTTTCAGGAACCGTTTTCAAGGTTCCCAAGAACCATTTCCCAAGCAAGTTTCCCAGGAACATGTTTTTCCAAGCAAAACAAGGTTCCCAGAACAGGGTTTCAAGCAAGTGTTTCCAGAAGAGGTTTCAAGGAAGAGGTGTCAAAGCAAGGTTCCCAGAAAGCTGGTTCCCAAGCAAGGTTTTCAGGAAGAGGTTCCCAAGCAAGGTTCCCAGCCACAGGTTCCCAGGAACAGGTGCCCATACAAGGTTCCCAAGAACAGGTTCACAAGTAAGGTTCCCAAGCACGTTCCCAAGCAAGGTTCCCAGCAACAAGTTCCCAGGAACAGGTTCCCAAACAAGTTTCCCAAGAACAGGTTCACAAGTAAGGTCGCCGGAAAAACTTCCCAGGCAATGTTTCCAGGAAAAGGTTCCCAAGCAAGGTTCCCAGGAACAGCTTCTCAAGCAAGGTTGCTAGGAAGAGGTTCTGAAGCAAGGTTCCCAGGAAGAGGTTCGCAAGCAAGGGTTCCCAGTTGTTCCTGGAAATTTTGCTTAGAAAACCAGCTCTCCTGGGGACGCTTACTTGAGAACCTTTTCCTGCGAGCCTTGTTCGTGCTTGGAACCTTGCTTGGAAACGGTTCCTGGGACCTTGCTTGGGAACCGTTACCTGGTAACCGTACTTGCAATCGGTTCCTAAGAAATTAACCTTGCTTGGGGTCCTCAGCCACCCCAGGAACAAGATTTCCAATCACATTTTCCGGGTTTAGGTTCGCAAGCAAAGTTACCAGGAACGATTCCCAAGCCAGGTTCCCAAGAACAGGTTCCCAGGCAAGGTTCCCAAGCAAGGGTTCCAGAAACAGTTTCCAAGCAAGGGCTCCAGAAACAGTTGCCAAGCAAGGTTCCCAGGCCAGGAACAGGTTCCCAAGCAAGGTTCCGAGGAACAGGTTTCCAAGAAAAGGTTGCAAAAAAGGTTTCCAAGAATAGGTTCGCAAGCAAGGGGTTTCCAGGCAATGTTCCTGGGAACAGGTTTCCAAGCAAGGCAGGTTCCCAAGCAAGGTTCGCAAGAACAGGTTCCCAAGCAAGGTTCGCAAGAACAGGTTCACAAGCAAGGGTTCCAAGAACAGTGCCTCAAGTTCCCAAGCAAGGGTTCCAAGAACAGGTTTCCTTGCAGGGTAGCGGCAAGGTCCTTGGGAACAGGTTCCCAAGCAAGGTTTCCACGAACAGGTCCCCAAGCTAGGTTCCCCAAGGACAGGTTTGCAAGCAAGCTTCGCAAGAACAGGTTCGCAAGCAAGGGTTGGAAGAACAGGTTCCCAAGAACAGGTTCGGGTTCCAAGAACAAATTCTCTAGGAAGGTTCCGAGCAATAGGTTGCCAGCACGGTTCCCACGAACATGTTCCCAAGCATGGTTTCAGGTTGTTCATGTTCCCAGGAACAGCTTTTCAAGAACAACTTGCAAAGCGAAATTTCGAAGACCATCTGCAAGCAAGGTTGGAAGCAAGAATAGAGTCCCAAGCCAAGTTCCGAAGGACAGGTTCCTAAACAAGGTTCCTAAGCAAAGTTACGAAAAACAGGTTCCCGAGCAAGGTCCCAATGAACAGGTGTGAAGCAAGCAGGCAAAGTTTCCAAGAACAGGTTTCCAAGAGAAAGTTCCCAAGAACAGGTTACCAGGCAATGCTCCCAAGAGCAGGTTCCTAAGAATAGGCTCCCAAGAACAGTTTCCCAAGCAAGGTTCCGATAAACAAGTGTCAAGCACGTGTCCAGGAACAGTTGCCCAGGCAAGGTTCTTAGAACATTGAACAACAGAACGCTGCAAAGTTTGAAGATTTGTTCTAATAACGGAACGGAGAGATTGAAGAACTAGTTTTGCTTCAAAAAATGATACGGCACTCGCGCATGGATAAAACACTAGACGACAGCGTGGCATGAAAGAAGGCAGTAGGGAGGAGACGAGAAGATAATACACGAGAAAAATGATGATGGTGATGATGATGACGACAATGATGATGGCGATGACGATGACGAGGATGAATGGTGATGGAGATGATGATGAATGATAGCTGACGCGAGTCAAATATCATATATCCACGGTTTCGCGCCTTTTTTGGCCCCACAGAGGGTTTGCTCCAGGGCTGGCACCTGAGTGACAGTCAGAATCCAAAGACGTGTTGTTTTTACACAGCGAAAAGTTTACACAGAGAAGATGTTACACACAGAAGCCTTTACACAGAGAGGGATTTACACAGAGCAGCTCTTACACAGACGCTTTTGCACACAGACGCTTTTACACACAGAAGCTTTTGCACAGAAAAGCCTTTTCTAAAGAAGCCTTACCACATGAAGCCTTTACACAGAGCAGCTTTACACACAGACGCTTTTTCACAAAGAAGTTTTTACACACAGGAACTTTAACGCGCAGATGCCCAAGCTTTTACACACAGGAGCTTTTGCACACACACGCCTTACAAAAAGAAGCTTTTAGACACAGAAACTTTTACAGCCTTTTCACAAGAAAGCTTTTACACAGAAGCTTTTGCACAGAGATGCCTTTACAAACAGAAGCTTTTACACACAGAAGCTTTTACTCAGAGAAGCCTTTAAACAGAGCAGCTTTTACAGACACAGAAGCTTTTACACAGAGACGATTTTGCACAGAGAAGCTTTTTCACAGACAAGTGTTTGCGGGAAGGAACTTTGAGCACAAACGGTTTTTAGATACAGCAGCTTTCACACAGAGAAGCTTTTGCGCGGACCAGCTTTTACACTCAGGTTTGTTTTCACAGAGCAGCGTTTACGCGGAGCAGCTTTTACACACCGAAGTTTTGACGCAGAGAGGCCTTTACACAGAGAAGCTTGTACACACAGAAGCTTTTACACACCGACGCCTTCGCACACACACACACAGATGCCGGTACACAGAGCAGCTTTGATACACAAACGCTTTTACACAGAGAAGCCGTTACACAGAGCAACTTTTACACAGCGCGGCTTTTACACAGAGACGCCTTTACACAAAGAAGCTTTTCTACACAAACGCTTTTACGCATAGAGGCCTTTACACACAGAAGCTTTTATGCACAGAGGTTTTCACACGGAAGCTTTACACAGAGAAGCTTTTACACAGAGAAGCGTCTAAACAGAGCATCTTTAATACACAGAAGCATTTGCACACACAAGCTTTACACACACGCCTTTGCACACAGAGCTTTTACACACAGACGCTTTTACGCATAGAAGCTTGTTCACAGAGCAGGGTTTACACAGAGCACAGAGAGAGGCCTTTGCACAGAGCAGCTTTTACAATCTTATACGCGCAGAAACTTTAAACACGCCCTTGTAAAATCGCAATTTTACACAAGTTTTATTTCGCGCGAAACGGTTGTGCCTGACGTTTCAAAATGGATAAAGTCGCAATTTTACACCAATTCTTGAACGTTGGCATCTGACGTTAAAAAATCGCAGTTTTCCCACAGTTATTGCCGTTTGACTTTCATGCCACGCTTGCATCTGAACTTTCAAAATCACAATTTTACACCAGTTTTTGACGGTTGACCATCATTTCGTGCGAAGGGGCTGTGCCGGGCCTCACCAAATTTGCATTTTGCCACATGTTTGGATGTCCGACCTGCGCGATCTCTGAAGAGGGTTGCCCGTGCCCAAAAGAAATTCACATTCCACCACATGTTTGGGCGTTCGAAACGCACGATCTCCGCAGACGGCTGCTGCGGGCAAAGAAGTTTCGCATTTCACCACACCACATGTTTGCCCATCCGACACGCGCCATCTCCGCAGAGGGTTGCCCAAGGACAAACAAGACCCGCATTTCGCAACACGTTTGGGTGTCCGACACGCCGCAGAGGGTAACGATTCGTAAGCCACCGCCTGGCTGTCCCTGCCACCAGAGAGAAATAGAAGAACTGGATGATTTTGCAGGAGTTCAGATACAATTTGATCACCTGGAAGTTAGCTGAACCCCTGTGTAGCAACTCCTGTGTAACAATTTCTGTGCAAAATGACCTTGCCGGCAGGAGTCTTGTAGGAGTTCAAGTAGAAATGGATCACCTGCAAGTCAACTCCTGTGTAAATGACATTGTTCAAGTCTTGTAGGAGTTCCCTAGAAGTTGATCACCTGTAGCTGATGTAGGTGATGTTGTCTATGTTGTAGATGATGAGGATGATGTTGTATGTGATGTAAGGTTAGATAGATTTGAAGATGTAGGTGATGTATAGGATGCAGTGATGTAGATGATGATGTAGGTGACGTATATCATGTAGATGAGGTTGATGGAAAAAGATTGTGTAGGTGATGTAGATGGTGTAGGTGAGATAGATGAGTGTGATGATGATGATGGTGGTGGTGATGGTGATGATAATCATGATGTAGGGAAGATGGTGCAGAAGATTTAGGTGATGTGGGTGATGTAGAGGATGTAGTGATGTAGATGATGATGTAGGTAATGTCTGTATTGTAGATAGAGCATGTCATATAGATGAGGTTGATGGAAAATGTGTAGGTGGTGTAGATAATGTAGGTGAGGCAGATGCAGGTGACGACGATGATGATGACGATGATGATGATGATGATGATGGTGATAACGATGATGATGGTGTAGATGTAGATGTAGATCTAGAGAAGATGGCGTAGAAAACGGTATAGAAGATGTAGGTGATGTAAAGGACATAAGAGATGTGGATGATGTATGTTAGGTAGATGAAGTGAAGAGTGAGGCGGAGAGCAGTTCTTTGGGAAAAAGCCTTCGCACGAGCTTCGGGAATTTTGGCCACAGTATTGCGAACGCTTTTGGAAAAGCGGTTTTTCATAGAGTGTTTGTGCTGTGATTGCGCCTTGTACGCCCGACCTCTAGAGTAAGAAGGGCGGGGCAATACACATACTTCACTCATTGCGTGTTTGGCAACTGTTTTTGTTTCTGGCTGTTGGGGATACTCTTTGGGCTTATTTGGGTATTATGGTTATTATGGACTATAGTTGGTGAATGATCGTTGATAACCAACTATGGAAAATCATCATGTTTCATGGCCAAATCCACTACAAATGGGCTAAATCCACATTTTTCATGGCTAAATCCACTATAAATCACCATTTTCCATAGGTAAATCCACCATTTCAATGGTGATTTTCCATAGCTTCACTATCTTTGACCAATGAACCCCACAGATTTTCCCATCCCATGGTTCCCATGAGGGCTGCCAAGGCGCCGCGGCGCCGCGGCCCAACGAGGTGGTGCCAACGGGACAGGCCTTGCAGTCGCTTTGACCCAACTGGTCCTGGGAGGCCGAGAGGCCGAGAAGCCGAGGCGCTGGGATCTTTGGGCGTGCGATTTTCTCCCAAAGATATAGTTTCAGACATATATTATATCTATAATATGTGTATGTATACATATATATATATAATATATATAATAATTCACTAACCTGAATTCAGGCCATTTGGGGATGATTTCCCTTACTAACCATGATTTCCAGTGAGGGAGGACAGTGAGGTCGTTATGATTTACCCAGATATGTGTATATATATATATATATATGAAAAGTATATACATGATTATATATGTATATCTAGGATTTTTCTTGATAGACAGTTTTGTAATATGTAATGGGTACAGAAGCAATATTAGGGGAATATTTTTCTATCTTTGGGATAGTTTTACGTAATATATAATGCAGAAATCATTAGTCATAAAAGTAATAATAGCACCAATACGGCCAAACACCTCGTCTTGCCCGCGCCTGTTGGCCCGCCTTCTTCGTATGAGCTGAAAACGTGGTAAAAATTGGATATTTTAGCATTATGCTTAACTTGATGTTCTAGATCAGAACGCACAGCAGAGGGACCTGTGCGGGTTCGTTCCGCATCATCATCATCATCACCATCATCATCATCATCATCAATGAAGATCTTCAACGAATATAGAAGTTTAACCCCGGTGGGAGAATTAAACCCTTATTGACGATCTTCAATGAATGTAGAAGTTTAAGGGCGATGGAAGAATTAAACCCGCCCTTATTGAAGATCTTCAATGAATGTAGAAGTTTAACGGAGGTGGGAGAATTAATCCCTTATTGAAGGCCTTCAATGAATGTAGAAGTTTAACGGGGGTGGGAGAATTAAACTCTTATTGCAGATCTTCAATGAATTTAAAATAAATGTAAAGTTTAACGGGGGTGGGACTTTTATATTCCCTAATACCTTTGTTGATCTTCCCAAGACAAGAAGGGTGTGGGCGAAACGGGGTGTTTGCGCGTGCTAATAGAAATAGAATGGAAATAGTAACGATAGTAATAAAAGAAACAATCATATAGTAGGAATAAATAATACTAATAGTAGTAATAGCAACAATAGTAAACATGGTAATAATTAATAGCAATAATTAGTACTAATAGAAGTAGAGTAGACACTATAGTAATACCCTCCGGTAAAGTAACAGTTACCCTAAAAATCACACATTTTGAGTGGAAACTAGTCTTCCAACCGACTCACGGCAGGGTCTATGTTCATTTACTGGAGGGTAATAATAGTAAGCAATAGTTTCACTATAAACAACCATTTTTGTTTCAACTCAAGAATAATGCGGAATAAATAGCGGTAATGAGTAACAATAGTAAAATCTTAACTGATGATTCTCACGAATGGAACTAATAATGGTGACAGTTAACCGTTAATAAGAATATTAAGGAATGATAGTAGTATTCGAAATAACTATTTTCATGAAAAAGCAATAATAAGCATAAATAATCAATAATAATCATGTTATACATAGACAATCATTGATTAGGACTTCTAGAACCATTAATAATCATTAATCATTATTTCGGAGATGGGGAACCGTTGCACTTGATAATCATTGTGCAAGTAACTATTGATACATATTGGAACCGTCATAGTCATACTCATTACACGAATATATTTTTTTTACAATTATTGTAACCATTACTATGGATGTTCTATACTATAATCATTTATTCAACATAAAAAACCCTACTATGAATGTACAATTATTATATTGATTATAATCACAAACTATTTTCACAATTATATATATATATACATACTGGATGTTCTCGCATACTTTGTGATATCATCAATTGGGAAGTCATCAGGGCATATTATTGTGGTATCGTGCGGTTTGACGAGCAATGAGCCAACCAAAATGGAGATTAAATCAAGCATTATATCCTGGCCAGCCATACTTGGCATGGGATATCATGGGGATTGTATTGAGATGACAATGGTAATGCTACATACACCTATACAAGCAACATCAGCGAACAGAAACATGCTGCTGTTTTTGGTTTTTGCTGTTGTCTGGCTTGCTGAGTTCTGGAGACCTACAGTCATGAAACATCTAAGTCGGGATGTGTCGGGATATCAGCTCAGCCATCTCCCTGGTGGATGCTGTATCCCCAAATATTTGCATGATGTCTTCGCATTGGGTGTCAAATAGAAGAATCTTTGACCGCGCAAATCAACCCATCAAATGTTTCCACCATCCCCTAATATCACCAGAAATGGATGGTATCATCCGCCAAGTCCGGTAAGTTTTTGTTACAGTTTATTTCCAATTTTTCTGGGATTATAATCATTTATAGTTTTCCCAGTTTTTGTGGGCTTATAATATGTAATATCTATAACTTATAATCCATACAAACACCATAGTTTTCCCAGTTTTTGTGGGCTTATATATGTAATATCTATAACTTATAATCCATACAAACACCATTATCATCACCGAGGCTAGGATCTAAACCATCTAAACCATCCCCACAAGGCGGGCTGGGCCGACTCCAGGCATTCCCCGTGGCGCCAAGTGTCTTGATATTTCCCAGCCTCGCAACGATGGCACTGTTGCTGCCCCGGCTGATCTTCGTATTCACCACCTGGCGATCAACAGGGCTTGGTTTTCATGGGCTAAAACGGATACCCTCTGGTAAACATACAAAAATCTACGGAAAATCACCATGTTTAATGGGAAAATCCACTATTTCTATGGTCATTTTCAATAGCAAACTGCTAAATTACTAGAGGGTACTTCTTTCATCAATAGAATGCTTGATGTTCAAAATCCCCCAGCGGGACATTGACCGACCCTGGTGAAATAGAAGATGCCTTTCAAAAAAAGGGGTGCGTATTATCATCCCCAAGTTTTTTTCTTTTGGCTTGGTTGGGATCAAAAGATTGGATTTGAACCGCAAACTTCAAAAGGCATCGCAATTCAGCAGCCAGGTAGCTAGGACAAGGGATGCACGACGTTGCCGCTGAAGTGGATTGGTATGAGCCTCAGTGGCAATCTTGCAGATCCGTATTTCGCACCTTGGCTTCACCACCGTGGGCCATCGCAGGAACCCATCGTCGCGGCCCGCCTGGTTCACAGACTTGGCAAATATGCGTTACACCTGCCGGTTCAGTGCGGTGAAGCGACCAGAAAATCGTGGCCATCTGCCCTCCGCCCTGGTTGATTGAATATCCCGGTGTATATTCCACTATACCTCCATATATGGCTTATTGTATTCCATTATTGTTGTTAATACCATTCTTCATTCTTCCCGAGACTGGTCGCAGAACCATGGTTATCTCAAATCTGGCACCGTTCTGGCTGCTCATCTTCCATTTTCAATAGCTATGTTAGTTTACCAGAAGGTATTCACCCACCAAATATCCACCATAAACAACCAGAAACATCCATAAAACAGCCATAAACATCCATAAACATCCAGAAACATCCAGAAACTATCCAGAAACATCCAGAAACTATCCACAAACAACCATAAACATCCAGAAACATCCATAAACATCCATAAACATCCAGAAACATCCAGAAAACATCCATAAAACATCCATAAAACATCCATAAAACATCCAGAAACATCCAGAAACATCCAGAAACCATCCATAAACATCCATAAACATCCAGAGACCGTCCAGAAACATCCAGAAACATACAGAAACCATCCCTTCCGTAAACCATCCATAAACATCCAGGAACATCCATAAACATCCAGAAACATCCATAAACATCCAGAAACCATCCAGAAACATCCAGAAACATCCATAAACACCCATAAACATCCAGAAACCATCCATCAACATCCATAAACATCCAGAAACCATCCATCAACATCCATAAACATCCAGAAACCATCCAGAAACATCCATCAACATCCATAAACATCCAGAAACCGTTCATACACATCTATAAACATCCAGAAACATCCATAAACATCCAGAAACATCCATAAACATCCAGAAACATCCATAAACATCCAGAAACCATCCATCAACATCCATAAACATCCAGAAACCATCCATCAACATCCATAAACATCCAGAAACCATCCAGAAACATGCATAAACCCCATAAACATCCAGAAACCATCCATCAACATCCATAAACATCCAGAAACCATCCATCAACATCCATAAACATCCAGAAACCATCCATCAACATCCATAAACATCCATCAACATCCAGAAACCATCCAGAAACCATCCATAAACATCCATAAACATCCATAAACATCCAGAAACCATCCAGAAACATCCATAAACATCCAGAAACCATCCAGAAACCATCCATAAACATCCATAAACATCCATAAACATCCAGAAACCATCCAGAAACATCCATAAACCCCATAAACATCCAGAAACCATCCATCAACATCCATAAACATCCAGAAACCATCCATCAACATCCATAAACATCCAGAAACCATCCATCAACATCCATAAACATCCAGAAACCATCCATAAACATCCATAAACATCCATAAACATCCAGAAACCATCCAGAAACCATCCATAAACATCCATAATCATCCATAAACATCCAGAAACCATCCAGAAACATCCATAAACATCCATAAACATCCAGAAACCATCCAGAAACCATCCATAAACATCCAGAAACATCCAGAAACATCCATAAACATCCAGAAACCATCCATCAACATCCATAAACATCCAGAAACCATCCAGAAACATGCATAAACCCCATAAACATCCAGAAACCATCCATCAACATCCATAAACATCCAGAAACCATCCATCAACATCCATAAACATCCAGAAACCATCCAGAAACATCCATAAACATCCATCAACATCCAGAAACCATCCAGAAACCATCCATAAACATCCATAAACATCCAGAAACCATCCAGAAACATCCATAAACATCCATAAACATCCAGAAACCATCCAGAAACCATCCATAAACATCCATAAACATCCATAAACATCCAGAAACCATCCAGAAACATCCATAAACCCCATAAACATCCAGAAACCATCCATCAACATCCATAAACATCCAGAAACCATCCAGAAAACATCCATAAACATCCAGAAACCATCCATCAACATCCAGAAACATCCAGAAACCATCCATAAACATCCATAAACATCCATAAACATCCAGAAACCATCCAGAAACCATCCATAAACATCCATAATCATCCATAAACATCCAGAAACCATCCAGAAACATCCATAAACATCCATAAACATCCAGAAACCATCCAGAAACCATCCATAAACATCCAGAAACATCCATAAACATCCAGAAACCATAGTTATCCACCATTAGTCACCCAGCATTTTCTCCACTTCGGCACCGCTGTTGTCCGCGAAGCGTTGCGACTTGAGCCCTGCCGGGCAGGCGCGGCACTCCACGGTGTCCGCGGGGCCCAGGTTCTTGCGGTCGGTGACCTGACAAAAATCGAGGGATTCGACGAGGCAAAAACGTGCAAAAACGAGATATAACGGCTAAAAAGGTGGGATTTAAGCCATTCAATGCCATAAATGTACATAAATACATAAATAAACATAGATACATAAATAAACATGTATTAATATATGTATATATATATATGTATATATTTGGGAATATATATGGGATTGGGATGGATTGGGTAGAAATAGATTTTCAATGTGTGATTATTTTCGGCTTCATTTATGTGGGGATTTTACAACTAACAGAACTTGGAATTTAGCCAGCCCTTTGAGGATATTTGAACAAGCAAAATCTGCATCTCCTAGCAGAATCCCATATTTTTTTTGCCGCAAAATCCTCATGGCGAAGCTGACAAATTAAATTAAGCGTTTCCTCATAGGAAAAACAGCAGCTTTCGCACGAAAATGGGTTCTACTTCGCAAGAAAGTGGGCTTTCTAGATCTAACAAGCTTGAATACTATATATCCAGACGTCAAGGAAAGCATTCGCCCATGAAATGGGATATCCCTGCATACGTATGCCAGAAAACTTGATAGGACCTACCCATACAAGAATTGCATCCTCGGCCACACTTGACTTTGGGGTAGGCAACTGTTACAATTTTTCACCAAAACATGGGAAAGAACAGGTTAACACAGGCAACAAAACATCATCACAGTTGGGTAACAACTGGGGATCACATGCTCAAAGTGGTGTCAGCCTTCGCCACTGATCAGAGCTGTGTTGGATACCGAGGTACGAAGCTTTGGGATCTCAAGTCGAACAAACCAAACCTCAGTGAAAAATATGGTTTTGTGGGTGCCACCTTTCCTGGTTGGTGGTATACCTACCGCTCTGAAAAATATGAAAGTCAGTTGGGATTATTCTTCCCAATATATCAAGGAACTATCCAGGTACCCCTCAAGCCTGTACCGCCTGTATGGGGGCAACCTTAAGCCTAGGTATAGACCAGGTATATACCTCACTTCTATGGGAGCAGTATAGGATGCCTATGGGCGCGTTATGGGAAAACAGCTGGCTTATGTTATGGTATGTCCAACCACACCAGATGATGCGCCGACGGGACCGCAACGAAACGTGCACATTTCACAAAATTACCCTATAAGTAAGTTGAACAAGGGCAAAGACAACTGTTGCTAACAAATGGGATGAACGCAGCATCAAATATTGCCCGACATGTCAAATAGCCAACGGATACCCATCTCATCAAGACGCCTGATTCAGGCTCACCATACACATACAATCTTGACAATTCTGCATTACTGTACATACATTAGAATAATTATTACTTGCTGGATACCATTGGACCTTCCAGAGCAAACATCAGCTGATGGAACTATCTTTGGTGCTAAGATTCGGCTTAGGGCGGATCATCCACCTCGAAAAATATTCCGCCACCATGATTTGGGGGCAAGTTTTCAGCCCCGAAAAACGATGTTTGTGCAAACCAGGAAAATCCCAGTATTTTGGGCTTTCTGGGTTCCAAAATTGGCAAAAACGTGGAAAAAAACATTTTTTTTGAGCGTGCGGGGGGTGTATGGGAGGTGTATGGGAGGCGTATGGGAAACCCAAATTTAGGAAGAAAGAAAAAATATGAGAACATTGAGCCCAATAGAAATGAAAATGCGAGGCAGTACTCATTTACTAAAGCAATGCCCAAAAAAAATATTCGCAAGAGAGCACTACCAAAAACAACCGAAATATCCTCTGACCAGACCAAAAGCATTGCTTTGAATGCTTGACTTGCCACCTGAGAACACCATCCCGCGGAGGGACATACAGTTGCCCCGGTGGGCATTGGCCATGCCCCTGCAAAAACGTAAGCCGCTATGCTGGCATTCTAGAGCAACACATGGTTCCCCAAATCATTTTTTTGCTTTTAATTGGCCAACACGATCGCGCAAGATCTGTCACAATTACACAAGGACCGAGGAAGCAAAACAGGAAAAACCCTATCAGAAACGATCTGGTGAAATAAAGGTTGACAACAAATAGTAGCAGCCGGAAATATTGATTGGCTAGCTTTTGGATGTTTTGGGGCAAGATCCACAGACCTCCCATGCTTTTGGAGCAAGATCCATAGACCTCCTATGTGGGGGTTCCAACTTTGCAGGTACCAAATAATCCCGTAGAATATATGGAAAAAAAAGTTCCAAACCACCAGCCAGTTGTTTTGTGGGTGCCACCTTTCAATGGATGGGAAAATCTATAGGAAAATCTGTCGGACAATCCTCCAGCTGAACTCCTCCAAGATGCTGTGGAAAGCATTGCGATGGATCTGGCACCCAGGCGCGCCAAATGTCTTCGTTCTTACGAAGCCATCGGCATGCAACCTGTGCAGCGGCCCAACAGGGGGTAAGCTGCGGTTCAGAGAAGCCACACTGAACGGAGTTTTGATGCTGGGTGTAAGCACTGGGCATTTTTTTGGGTTTGAGCCGATGTGCACAGGCTTTCGCCAGAAATATCGCTTGAGATTTGCCGACAGTCTCGGCAAGCTGCAACGCTCCCGCCGAGGGGCTGTGGAATAGTTGTCGCCAGTGGAAAGGGCGTCAGACAATAAGGAGTTCACAACCTCAGGGCAAGCAGTAGGCTCAATGCGTTCCAAGCAAATACATATGGCTTTTAAATGTTTGATTCAATCCAACCATTTTTTCCGGAAATGGCTGCAGCAATCTTGGATAACCTATGTATCCAAGTGGGGATAGTTAACATGTCTGGGATGCAGCCAATCACATAGCGGCCAATCACATCCAAGGCACGTTGATATCGATGTACAACGCCTGCAACACCACAAAGCCCACCCAAAGTCGTGAAGAAATCAGTGGTGGAAGTGGGGGAAAATGGAACTGCAGCTTTGGCGGACAGATTCTAAGTCTTCAAGGTTCCAGGAAATTGATGAAGGGACAAATTACGGCCAAGTGCCTGTATTTGGATGATAGCCCCAGTTCCCTCAAACCAACTGCCCCATGAAACTTCAAGCCGCCGAATCCCGCAGAATCCATGGAATGAGTAAGGAGACCTTTCAAAGATGCCAGTTTCCCAACAGTATCTACCCAGTTTGAACCGCTGAATTCATCAGTTTCACTGCTGAAATCCGGCCTTTACCAGAGGGTAAGTTCCAAGTAATGTGACATCAATGTCTAGTTTATGCCATTGC